AAAAAAAAAAAAAAAAAAAAATTAAAGCATGCTTGCATGTTTTTCAAACTTGAAACCAAACAAATGTTAATTCCCTGATTTCCTCTCCAAAGCAGTTGCAAATAATAGGCATCTTGGGAAAGGCAGTGGTGGAAGAAAACCTTCTCTGATTTTAAAAAGTTAACTACAAATGTCTAGTATTGGTTAGAGTGAAGTCATTTTAAATGTTCCATAATCATGACCAGACCATCAATAGAATATTATATGAAAATTGCATTCCTACTTAAAACTGTGTTCCCCAGCCCAGAGCTGGGTATCATCATAACACAAAAAATTAAGTAGAGGTTTACATGGAGTGGCATCATAATCCTTAACTAAATACCTTTGCTGCAATACCATGAAGCATTCATAGCCTGATCCTACATAAACCACCAGAACATTTTATATTCCTAACTTGCTATGACGTGGCAGGTATTACTTTGGGCTCGGAGGTTTCCTTTTCAAATGCTTGCTAGTCTCATTAGCTAATGAGGTGACAGTAGCTGTGTCTTATAATGAAGATAATCTTTTGTCATTGTCTTTGAATGACCCTCTAGCCATGTTCTCTCAGAATAAGTTATGATGCAATTCAAGAATTGTAACTGTTTCTTATCCATGTTGCCAAAAATAGGGTTATAGTTAAGGAAATAAGAATAGATTAATCAGCATGGAAGATGGCTTTGCTAGCTGCTTTTTTAAAATTACATCTGGTGTGGTGGGTGATGTGCTGCTTTCCTGATGGAGATGATGTTGGGAAGAGTGTGATTAGGGGCAATGCCCTGAAGGAAAACTTACCTCAAAGGGAAGAGCTCCCGAGCAGGCAGGACGTGGCTGAAAATTGGAAGTCTGGTGGGAGCAAAAGTGTGACAGCAAAAAACACTGCCGCCACAAATATTGAGGGGAAAAAAAAAGAAGGTACACAACAGGTCCAAGAAGAGCCGGGGTTGGCTCCAGCTGTTTTATGGTGGCATGCTAGCGCTGATTTGCTGCCCAGCCCCTTAGGGCAGAGGTAAAAGCTCTGCTGGGAGCGGAGTTGGGGGAGCTGCAAGTGAGGCTTATGGTGGAAACAGAAGAGCCCCAAGGAGGAGGGATTTCATAGACATTAAGGCTGGAAGGGACCTCGGAAGATGGAGTCCAGCCCCCTGCC